TAAGTTGAGAGAATATCCGACCACCAAAAATAGACATCACTACCGGTTCAGTTTGAACTGACTAAACCATACTATAGACAAATTGGAACCACACTAGAAAAGTCAATTCAAAATTTTGAACCAGAACCGCTGGTTCAAGGGGTTAAGATTCATTTGAATATTAAATCTGAACTTGAACCGGAATCGACGGTTCAAGGGGTTAAGATTCATTTGAATATTAAATCTGAACCATCGTTAAAGAGTTCCATTGAATATTAAAATCTCGTGAACAATTGAACATTCGCGCACCGAGACCTCGACGGTTATTCAAAGGGACCTTTGACCAATAGCAGGCGTATTGTAAGACTCTCCATCTTGTAATATAAATCCCTCGACCTGAACCCGCCCCGAGCGCCCCAAAGGTCTGGAACCCGATAATTTTATCTCTTGTGATTTTTAGTATAAAAATTATATCTAATATTTTCATCTTCGTTCATAGAGTACGAGTATTCTTAAAAGTATTAAAATAAATTCTATCCCAATATTTCTTTTTAAAATTCCACCATTAATTTTTTTCTAATAAAAAAGTTTCTTAGAATGCCAAAAATTTTTATCTTTTTTTTAAAACAAATCAATATCCACATATCATAAGGAAACTCCCATCAACGCCACTCCCGCATCATCCCGATTTCGGACACGGGTCCTACATTCCATTGCAACTAATTATACACCTCACCACATCCGCCAGCCACTCCAAGGTTCAAGGGGTTAAGATTCATTTGAATATTAAATCTGAACTTGAACCGGAATCGACGGTTCAAGGGGTTAAGATTCATTTGAATATTAAATCTGAACTTGAACCGGAATCGACGGTTCAAGGGGTTAAGATTCATTTGAATATTAAATCTGAACTTGAACCGGAATCGACGGTTCAAGGGGTTAAGATTCATTTGAATATTAAATCTGAACCTGAACCGGTTCGGAACCGATAATTTATTTCATTATTTTATAAAATTAATTAATTTTATTGTTTATATGAGTACGAGTATTCTAAAAGTTATTTAAAATAAATTCATCAATATTTTTTTAAAATTCACATTAATTTTTTCATAAAAAAAACGTCTTAGAATCAAATTTTTATTTTTTTAAAAAAATAATACACATATCATAAGAAACCGTGTTTGGAACGGTCAATTCATCAAAATTGCGCCAGAATCAAAACCAAATTGAAATCAGCGGTTTAAAGGCCGATTCAATTTCAATATTTTAAAAATTTTGAACCGTGGGTTCCATGAAACCCCGGTGCCTATAAATAAAATTGAAAAAAAAAAATTAAATAGAGCATCATTAACAAAGAGATCCAAAAAATTGTCTAGTCCCTATTATCTCTGCCATTGACCGCAATGCTTTGGTAATCATTGCTCATTAAACAATATTCAAAGGAACAGTCACCAGCCACTACTTCAGTCATAAGTGAATCTCTGGATGTTATTTACATTTTCCTGATCCTCTTTTAGGGCATGATGAGGAGTGGAACACGAAAAAATATATGAAAGTGTTTTTGTAAACCATCGGTATTTGAATTCCATTATCAGAGATCATTTAATCTGGTTCAGAATTTCGTTACAGTTAAGGTTCCTTATCCATCGCTATAGATACATTTAATAGAAAATAAACCTAAGAGCTCTTCGCATATACTCAACTTGCATTACCAACTGAGTCACAGCACATAAATAAATAAATAAATAAATAAATATATATATATATATATGTTTGAGTAGAATCAAATTAATTAATTGAGATAAAAAGTAATATTATATATATATATTTAAAAATTATTCTGAGTCATCCATCAAGATTTTGTACGTTAAACTAATTATTCATAGCCTTAATAAAACAACAATCAAGCCTTTCTTTTTTCCAAAATAGTTGGGTTATATAAATCATTAGAAACTTAAAAATACTAAATTTTCTGACTATAAATTAATAAAACAAATATATATTGCTGATAAAAAAAATTATTTCAAATATCTGAAGGAGGGTTGCGGTGTGTAAAAAGCAGTCAAACACACATTATAAAAATTTAATATATGACTTAATTATCTATTCTTATAAGTTTGTAGTTTTGATACTTTAAAAGATATGTCACTTCAATATTTTTTATTTTTTATTTTTTAATTTTATCAAGAAATTAGGCCAATTTAGAAATGCTATCTAGCGAAATTGTCTAATTAAGGGAAGCTCGGCTCTTATTAATTGGAATAAAACTCAATTTATATCTTGAATTATCTCATTGTAACTCTCTAATCATTTAGCTTCTTAATTAGTGGAAATAAAAAAATTAAAAGGGAAAAAACAAAAAATTTGAATTGCAAATTGCGATGCACAAAAAGGAGAGATTTATATATATATATATATATATATATAATATAGCTATACCAACTACACTGAACTGAAGCACCTACCACATTTTGTCAAAACAGGATCCATGGCTTAAACGAAACATCAAACTTGCACATGTGGAAAACGGACCCATCACTTGCAGAAAATCCAAGGTGGTTCTTAGCCGTGGCAGGATCAACCGCCTTTGATTAAAAGCATTATGCCCTTCTTTATGGGGATACCATTGTCCATTGCAGGTTCTTCTTTCTTTAATTATTCTCATTCAAAATTATATATATATATATATATATATCCTGAACTGAAGCAACCAATGGAAACAAGTCCATGGTTAAACGAAAATCAAGATGAAAACGACCCATCACTTGCAGAAAATCAAGGTGGTTCTTAGGTGCAGATCACGCCTTTGATTAAGCATTGATGCCCTCTTATGGGATACCATTGTCCATGCAGGTTCTTCTTTCTTTAATTATTCTCATTCAAAATTAAAAAACGAAAGAAAAAAAAAAAGAAAGAAAACCATCATATCGTCCTTTCTCTCTCCGTCTCTGTAAAATCCATATACAAAATCTGTACGTATGGTTGTTGATTTGATTACAGATTTGTTTTTGTGTTCTGATAGGATGAGTTTGATGCATGGAGATGGAGGAGTTTATGTCTTTTGTGAAACAGACGTGGGTTGGGAGTTGCATGAAAGGGATAAATATCTGTGTGTTTTGAAAACTGTGATATTTTTTAAATTTTGCATATTCAAGTAAGTAATACAAATTTGTCTTTGCCTCTCTTCTTTGGCTATGTAAAAGGATTTATACACTTGTGTATGTAAATATTTTCGTACTTTTGGTCATTTATTTTATATATAGAAGTGTGAATATGGGAGCTTAGGGTTAAGCCTGCAATGCCTATAGATTGGTCGTAGGTCGGGTTGTTTGGGAGTACCAACAAAATTATTTTGGTCTCTATATATCACACATTAAATTTGTGTCTCTGACTCTTTCTTTCTCTCTTTTGTTTTATTTATTTTGTCTTCTTTTTTTTTTTCAACAGAAGATGGGAGATGAATGTGATCCATGGTGGCGTTGGTTTATTAGGAAATCAAGTCTTTGGCTAACATTCTGATAAAAACCAAGTTTTTTCCTTTTTTTTAAAAAAAAAATTGAGAATCAATTTGTGTTTTTAATTATAAAAATGGGCTGTGAATATGCTAAAATTAACTTTTAACAATTAATTTTAGTAAATTAAATGACTGGATTTCTAAAAAAAAATTAAATGACCGATGAGAAAAGTAAAAGGGTATTTCCAAAAAACAAAAACTATATTCCAAAATAATATTCATATTACTAATTCGGGGTAATCCTAAATTAATTGTCGAGTTCACTGTTTAGTGAAAAGTCATAAGTCAAAAATGTTGAAACAAATTTCAATCATCAACCATCAAACCCAACAGGTACCTGCGGTACTAAGAGCTTATTCAACGCCAACGTTTCAACGTTTCAGGGAACCATCAATGTTTTGACTAGAGTCAAAACACTGTATCTATCAAATAAATTACTCGCTAACTTAATATTTGCAACAGCTGTAAGAGGTTAAAGAGTGTTTCATCAAACATTAAATCTCTTAATGTTTAGCGTTTTAAATTTTATTTTTTGACACTCTTATCAATTTATTTTGTTTTTCCTTATTCTTAAGATTATAATTCTACTTGCAATAACACTCATTTGAATTTGGTATTCTTGTTATTTATTTAAAATTTCTTTCTCAAATCTCAAAGGAATATATGTCATTTTAATTATTTATTTCTATTTTCTTAAAACAAGGATAAGAGTATGTTGTCAAAATTAAACAACATTAAAAAAATTATCATCTTTTCATTTTAATTTTATAAGAAATAATCTTTTATTATAGAAAAAAATTCAAATAAAAAATAAAAAAAATATGATAATAATTTAGGAAAAAAAACACTCTGTTTTATATATATATAATTAGTCCATTTAAGTTCTATGGCTATAATTTAAAATTTTAAGTCAACATTCTAATGTCCTTTTTTATTGTTTTAATTTTGACAGCTAATCAAACATTTAAACCACTACATAAACACCTAACAGGTAACAACTAGTATCTAACAACTAAAAGTTACTAGAACAGCTAAAACTCTACTACAACTGTTAGTATTGCCGAACAAATCCTAAGGTTATATTACCTTTTAGTGTTTTGCTTAAATGCTATTTTTCATAATATTCATTAATATAGCATTTATGAACTAACTTTTTAAAAGTGAATGTAACATTTTATAAAAAATTAACTCACTTTAATATTAACTCATTTTAATGTTAATCCAGTTAATCCATTGTTTAGCTTTTTAACATTTTATAAAAAAACTCTATTAAAATAATAAATAATTATCAGTTAATTTTGCCGAACAGAACCTCAATGCTGAACCAAACAAGAGCCATGTAACCACCAAAAAGAAAACCTGGCTCCATAAAAATGAAGCCTATGTTTCATTTTGCACCGGTTCATTGCAGCAACTATATATTGCAAGAGGATCAGCTAAATAATAAATGCCATTCCACATATAAGGTAGAACCGCTAATTTACTGTGGAGAAACAAACATCAACAGTTTTTCCAAATGACAATTCATTATTGGTATTGGCTTGGTGGTAGCAGCCAACACCAGGTGTAAGCAAGCATTCCATATTTTCAACCCTTAACCAAGAGAAAATATTTATGGCCACAACCTACGAGAATATACACAATGCTGGGACTTCTCGGCCTTTTGGGTAAGAGCTTGCAAAAGTACATAAAACATATAATATCCTCTTTGATAATTTTACAATTTGATTCAACAGTATTTCATGTAATGTACATTTCTTCCTTTTAGTTCCAATTTTTCCAAATGATTAATTCCTTCTGTGATCTTGAGTTGCATCACAAGAATAATTCAAGCATTATGATGATTTCCCTTCTTCTAGCTTCAGCGAACCAAAGTTAACATTTACTAGTTCAGCAGCAGCCCGGGCAACTGCGGTTGCACGCTCTGCAGAGGCAATGGCAGCTCGAGCAATCTCCAAGACATCAGAAGACCCTGATGTTGTCCCCCTTTTAGCATCCGGAGATGGTATTGTAGTGTCGTTCTTGATTGATGATTTAGTTTCACTAGTATCCACTGACGGTGTATTAATCATTGGGCTAGGAGCCTGAAGATATTGAGATCCTTGTCTGCTCTCTGTATTTATAATAGGACTTGTCCCATTGGTAGGTGGAGTTTTAGGAGAGCTTCGTTTCATGGGAGCTTGAGAAAGTGCAGCTTCAGCCACAACTTGCTTTGATCCACCCTAGATAAAAATAATAATAATTCACATCTCAATAATTCAATGAACAATAGTATCATCCAACTAGAAGTGACATTAATGAATGTCTACAATTTACCAAGCTCCAAGGCGAAATTAATAATTCTGCAAGCTAACAATGGCAGACGTTAATTTTATTAGTCAAGGACTAATGTAGCTGACAGTTGAAACAAATTGGCCACTAGAATAATGATAGTTGGAAGCTGATCAAGCATCTGACATGATCAATATTCCACCTAGGACATTTACGAGGCAATAACTGGTAAACACATAATTATAAATCATATTTCATATTTGCATAGTAGAAAGAATTAGAAAACCTCAGTAGTCATAATAACTGCCTGATACTCGAGCCTTCTCACATTGTAGGCTATATGATGGTCAGGTATAAGCCCTTCCCAGCTATTTTTGAGATTTGATTGAGACCTTCAGTTCACAATAAAACACCTTGCCTGGCATCATGGCTGCCCATCCAGGCTAATTACCAGAAATATTATCCTAATCAGACGTTAGTTGACTTTTTTGAGTTGATGCACAAAATATCTTTATGAGACCTATGTTTCTGCAGCATTTGACTACTGTAAACAAGTAAAACTGGAAAAAAAGTTGCAATAACTACCGTGAATTGAAGTATACTATGTAGCAGCATAAAATTTCTAAATGTATTTTTAGATTCACTTCAACAATATCAAAAGAGAACCGTGGTGATTGCAAATTTTTCATAAATTAATCGTTGTTCATTTGATTAGTATTGCAAGGACATGGAAAGTTTTGCTTCCAGAAGTGAGTTTCCCTAAATGTTAGTCGGCATGCCCCACAAATTTTAATTGCAAGAAGCTCAGGAAGCAGGATTCATAATATATATCTTTCAGCAACTAAACAGTTACTGTCTATGAACAGCATAATATTAAGCGTGTGGATTATAAACCAAATAACAATTTCTGAATAATGAGTATGAGCTAAGCGCAACTTAAACACAAACAGATTGGCAATTTTACCAGAAGATCTTCATGCTTTTTACCAAGCTCGGCTTCTGTGCTAGAAGAATCCCAGTCCAAGCTATATTCTTGTGCAATTTCCTTCAAAACCTTAATCCTTGCCTCTGCTGACGGAGCACTAATTGAAAGCTTTTCAATAATCTGCACAAACAGAAATAACACTACATGTAAGTGACAGCAGTACATTCTAGGTTCTATGCTTGCTTCTGTATGAATATCACACTTGCAGAAAACTCAATAAACTAAAGCCAATTAACTGCACGGTTGACACTAGAGTCGGGACGAAGCTCAGAAGCTGCCATGACAAATTCCTTCCCATATTTTGCAGATAACAAATTCTGGATCTGCAATAAATCTGGCACTTCTGAACATCTTGGAGCAGCAAAAATTATGCTTGCAACAGCCTCTCGTAATTCAGCTGGACATTCTCTGTTATATTAAACGATGGTTGAAAAAGTTCAAAGAAAAAGAAAAAAAAAAAAAAAAAAAAAAAAGGCCAATTTTACCAGAAGATCTTCGATGGCTTTTTACCAAGCTCGGCTGTCTGCTGCTAGAAGGAATCCCAGTCCAAGCCTCTCTTCTTGTGCAAAGTATATCCTTCAAAAAACCTTTAATCCTTGCCTCTGCTGACGGACAGCAGCACTAATGAAAAGACTTTCAATAATCTGCACAAAAACAGAAATAACACTAATGTAAGTGACAGCAGTACATTCTAGGTTCTAGCGATGTAGCTTCTCTGTCTATGAAATATTCACACAACTTGACAAGAAAACTCAATAAACATTAAAGGCCAATTAAAACTGCACGCGTTGACACTAGAGTCGGGACGAAGCTCAGAAGCTGCCATGAGACCAAATTCCTCTTCCCATATTTTTGCAAGATAACAAATTCTGGATCTGCAATAAAATCTTGGCCACTTCTGAACATCTTAGGTACGATCATAATATTATGCTTCCAAATCGCTCTCTCAGCTGGACATTCTCTGTTAATTAAAAACGATGCCGTTTTGAAAACAGTTCAAAGACAAAAGAAAAAAAAAAAAAATAAAAAAAAGAAGAGAACTATCGAACTCTATCACTAAGAAAAAATTATCAATCAAAAAACATAATGAAGATTAAATAAAAATTAATATAATGCTGGTTCCTTGTTAGATTTTAATAAACTATCGTGAAAAAAAAAAAAAAAAAAAAAAAAAAAGAAAACTATTCGAATCACATAGAAAAATTATCAATCATAAACATTAATGAAGATAAAATAAAAATTATAATGCTGGTTCCTTGTAGATTTATAAACTATCGTGAATCAATAATTTTATAGTATCGAATAATGGATTATCAAGAGATGTTTAGGAAATGAGAAACAAACAATAGTGCTGCTAATATGCGCCTACATATGTCCATATCATATATAGATTATAGATTCTAACTTCTTCGCACATGTAAAATACTTTAAAGTTAGGGCCTCAATGTTTTATTAAGATGCTTCCCCACTTTCGCTTGATAAGAAAGCACTTTGGAAATTAAGAAGCATTGTGGCATGAACTCCTTCAGCTAAGTTGTAACGTCCATTTCAATAACCTATTGTCTTATTCAACTGCCTTATTTCTAATGGCCATACCCAACAATCTCGAGCTTTTCTTTTGTCCATTCTCTTCCAAGATCAGAGAGGTGGAAACAGAGATGAAGCTCTAACTAGATCATTTCTCCCCTGAGGTTGAGTCAGCCAGCCCAAAAGAGCATCTTCTCTAAACCCTTATTTTTTCTCAAAGCTCACTATAAGTGAAAGGACAGCAGGTAAGGAAATGAAATTCTCCGAAGAATGTGATCCCCAATCCCAAATAACAAAATTTCATACAAAAGGGACAGCTGGTTGATGCAGCAGTTGGCCTACGTTAAATAAGACAAGAAAAGATTTTGTTCTTCATTTGTAATGTAGCTATAGTGCATATCAATATTGTGAATGGTACCACAAGCAACATTTTTGGTTATCTGGATGCTAATTGATAGATAACAAGTAAAGTCAATGGAAACATTCTGAGTTTAAGAATTTCAAACCTATGTAGTAGGCTTAGTTTGAAATTTTGAAGAAAAAGAGAAACTTATTTCACTTTCAGAACTCCTCCAAAATTACACCCAGCATCCTGCTATCATTATATTAGCTTAAGAATTTCCCCACACAATCTCCAAAGAGAGCCAGATTACAAGAGAGGAGCTCCAACAGCAATGTGTATGAATATGATGTTATAGTTTCTACATTTTTTTTTTTTTTTTTTTTTTTATTTTTTTTTTTTTTTTTTTTTTTTTTTTTTTTTTTTTTAAGAGTACAAACAGCTTCCAGACCTTGGACAGAAATTAAAGGCTTGATAAAATTAGAGGGTAAGCATTCGGTTCGGCAATTCGAATCAATGAATAAATGTTTGGTTAATGGTTCGGTTAAAGAAAATCCATTTTTTTTGTAATCAGTTAAAGGTTCGGTCAAAAATTAATCAAACCGAATTAATCAAATCAACCGACTCTCAAGACTACATCATTTTAATTAAGTAGATAATAAAAATTAAAAACATTAATAATTTTGTCCTTTTTCTTTTAATTTTTAAAAATTTCGGTTAATTTTTACTTTGTTAAAGTTTGTTAATCACTTATTTCGATTAAATCCATTCAGTTAATTAGGTTTCAATTTTCTTTAACTTCAACTCAGTTAGTAATTGAAAATGATTCGGCCAAAATGATTCGGTTAAGTTATGTTAAAAAATTATCAGTTAAGTTTGCTTACATTCAAAAAAAATTCGGTTAAAAATGTTATCCAAATTGCACGAATTGGCCAAATGCTCACTCCTAGATAAAATTATAGACTAGAAGCAGTAAAGGCTAGCCCAACACAACCAAGCTAAAACAAATTGATATGCTCCAAAAATCAAACAAATAATATGAAAATGGCAGCTTCCTAGAAAGAAAAGGAACACAGATTTAAAACTAGAAGAAGCAGCTGAGGCCTATGTAAGCTCCTATCCTGATTAAGATTTTCATCGTTACAAATTAAGGTTTGGATATTCAAAATGGTCTTAGCACACCTGTCTTCAAATTGAGAAAGAAAATTTTTGCTGAGCCAAAAGCTAGTAGTCAGATACTGGCCCAAAGTTCAGGCAGCCAAGATTCAAACTCCCATCCCCATAAGAGGATATAGATAGATAGATGGAGATAGATAGAGAGAGAGAAGGAGAGAGGGAAGGGCATAAGTTTGTCTCTTCTGCATGTGAAAATCAATAGCAAAAAGAAATATTCTATGCATGCATTCACATCCACAGGCACACAGATAAGTGCACATATACATATTTAGAGATCATATATAGTAGCCATTGCGTCAATCATTTCTTTGAACACCAAAATAGGAACAATCAAAGACACAAACTAATTGGAAACAACAACAAACAATATTGAACCACAAAACAAAAGTGGCAGAAGATGATTTTAGCCTTTTGTTTGAATAGAAGAATAAAGATTTTGTGGTATAGTTTTAACTCCCACCTAAGAGAACTCTAGTCTGTCACAAATCAATAGATCAAGAAATCTCTAGGAAGCAATTACCTTGTCATTTTACACTGATGACGTACCACAAACTAATCTAAAGAGTTCAACAAAAACTCGAACAAAATATAATTCTATCAACCAACATTTTCAAAAACTAAAAATTTGCAAACTGATAGTATATTTTAATTGCTTAAAATCAAATAATCTAACCTCAAGCCTGTGGATAAAATTAGTTAGAAATGTTGGAAGACTGCATAAGCAATTATCTCCTATGGCATATAACTATATCAATACAGAATAAGAAGTCCACAAGATTGTACTCTCAAGACACCAAAATTTATAGTTAACTAACTAATAGGAAAGGACACTCAACAAGTTTTGCAGCATAAATTTTGCTCAGGGTGCTGATTTCATAGGTGACAGTTTCATTAATCTTGTTATTTCTAACTTGTAATTGCCACATAAGCACACGTACAATTTGTGCAGATTACTTATGTGTTCTTGCTATATACAAATTACTTATTTGTTTTTGCTCTACACAAAAACAGTCTCTTAAAGTTTTAATAAGACAGCAGGAGCCATTAATGCTGGTAAGACCGCAATATCAAATGCCTTTAAATTGGCAGAAGCAGCATTTTTCACATGTAAACTATTCAAAGGTATGAAATTGAACTGCATATCTGTATAAAATAAATATGATGCACTAATTCTATGCTGCTTCTTTTGTCAAGAAAAGCGAAAGAGTACCATAAAAGTTATCTACAAAGACTCCAATAAAGGAACAAATCCATATGATCAATAGACTTACTTCTGACTTTCAAGAATTGGAACACGAGCAAGAACAAACTCACAAAACAGCTCCAATATCTCATAAGCAGCCCACAGATTTTGTTCGCGTATCACATGCTCCACCTAAAAAAGAAGAGAAAAATGCACAGAAGAAAGAAAAAATAAATAAATAAATAAAAAGTAGTTCCAAAGACAGAAAATGAAACAAAAATTCTGATTAAGCAGACCATTAGCAATTATCAAAACTGAAAGGGTACCCGAATTCGAGCGATTCCTTCTTGGCCAGCCTGCAAAAATTGTGCTATTTCCTTGCGCATATGTTTGAGCTGCAAATCTCTTTTGTTTTGTAGCAATTTGATGCGTGAGATTGACAATGTCAAGCATGTTTTGCTGCAGAAGCCAATTATCGAAAACAAAATTCACTACATAAAAAATTCAAGAGAACTAGAGCAACCCGCAATTCATTCATTCAATTTTCAAGCACCAAAAGATGACAATTTGAGCAGAGGATCCACAATTACACTCAGAAAAGTTGTCGAAAAATTCACTTTTACTAAATCAGATATAAAAGTTCATCTTCTGCAATCCATATACATAAATTAGTGATAATAAATCAAATACTTCCGTTTAAATAAATAAAAGTTTAATAAACATTTATGAAATGAAAAATCAAATAATTATCAACAAAAGCATAGATAAAGAAAGAAAACAATAGGGAAAATTGAAAGAGGAAAGAAAGAGAGAAAAGAAAATACCATTTCGCACCAAAGACGCCTCTGTTAAAAAGTTGATTTAAAAGCGACATTGATGCTTAAACTGAGAGAATGCAGTCTCTGGTTATGATTCCAATAACTATTTGTAAGGTCGATCGTCGCTGTAAACAAGTCTGTTAGATACCCTCCATTAGTCTGTCTGTTTTTTATTTTGCGAAGTGATACATGGAACGAATCGGTCCAAGCACGGAGTCTATTTTACAAATATTTGCGGGCCATGGTTATCTTAAGTGAATCAGGCGCGTTAAAATGAAAAGGGTTGTAGGTGTAATTGGCTAGGGGTAAAGCAGACAATTCCCATAGTTATTGCTAGTGACGTCAAGTTTGTTTTGCTACTTCCTAAGCTAACTTAAAAAGAAAGAAAGTACCATAACATGAGAGATTTAAGTTGCACAGTGGATGCTGCTTAACATGTTACAAATTTATTTAAATAATAACGAAGTTTTTGATAAATCATAATGATAAAAAAGTAATTATATAATTTATATTAATTACAATAAAATATATGTTAAGCATATCAAGTAATTTTATTATTTTAGTATAAAATATTCTTTTTATTGTTTATAATTTTATTGTAGTGAAAATTAAGTGAAAAATAAAAGCACGATGATTCCAAGTTTATAAATTATTTAAATAAATTTTCAAATATTATAATTCTATTTATTCATAAAATATATATTAAAAATATTTTTTGAGCAATAATTAAAGGTGTGTATAAGTTTGTAGGATTCCAACCTATTCTTGAAAATCATCTCAAATTTTTCATTCAAAAAAAGAAATTTAATTTAAATTTATGAGTTCTACCTCAAATATTGTCGGTAATTATAATACAAATTTAGTTATTTACTTAAAACTATTTATACAAATATGAAGTTTCATTTAATTTATCACTCATACAACTTTAGCCCTAAAAATAATTGAGTATCACTTTGTACCTATCAATATTAATAAATTTATTAGAGTAGCTTAATTAAAAAAATAATTTTAGTATTTTTAAAGGTTGTTAGTTTAAATTTCTATTATATAAAAATTAAAATTTGAGACCTTAAATAGGTAAATTGCATAGCATGTATCAAAGTTCTTAAATCAAAATCAATTCTGGTAGTAAAATTACAATCCTATTTCAAATCTTTTTATCAATATCCAAATTCATCATCTCTACTTGCTACTTAGAAAAAATGAGATGCAATTATCATAGGAAAACAATATTAATATATTTAATGTTTTCATCCCATGTCGCAGCAATCCATGATTTTTTTTCAAATTGCAATGTTTCAAACGAAATTGACCAAATTAAGGGGAATATTAAGAGAAAGCAAAATTTCCATTCTTTGGTTATGGTGAAAAAAGTCTAGAAGGAATGAAATTTTTAATCTCTCCAATTTGAAAAAAAAAAAAGAATATAATAAAAATAATTAAAAATAATTAGTATATAAAAAGTTTAATTTTAATCAATGAAAGTTTAATTTTAGTTTGCTTTTTAAGGTAAAATCACAAATAAAATATCTTTTTCATTTTCAAATTTTCCTAATCTCGTTCTGAATAGTTTATATTAAAAAAAATTTTTAATATGAAATTGTCTGATATTATTTACCTTTGAAAAAATTTACCTCTGAAAAAACAAACAAATCGAGTTTCCCCGTTCAATGATGTTTCTATCTATAGCTAATTACAAAGGTAGAGTCTGAGTTACTTTGCTTGTCATAAACTTTACTTTTACATTTTTGCCCATTTGCACAAGCATTTGTACTTCTTATAACCTCCAATCAACCTGGGCCCATTTTTCAAATATTTTGCAATAAACAATTGTCGTGCCTTGGAACGAATTGTTTATCAATCATTTCCCTTTTATTTTTTATACACTTAATTAACTAACTTTTATCATAAAGGTTTGACTTAACTGCTATTTAACGTTTATTAATTTTGAGATTATTATTATTATTATTATGCTAAAAAAAATTTGAGAAATAAGATACCATATCATTGTTTAGTGATAATATTTTTTTTATCAAATTAAATAAAAATTACTAAACGTCATAATTAATGTATTCATTTATAATTATAGTTTTATATTCTCATAAATTTTTAGATTAAAACAATAATATAAATTTTTATATTCATTTATAATTATAGTTTTATATGTCAATTTTCAATAACAGCATTATAATTTTTTTACTTAAAATTTTAAATTAACTTAAACTTTAGTAGATAAAAATACTCCTCGAGATAAAGGAGATCTCTTCCTCTATAAACTTTATTATTATGGCTGATTCAGCCCTTCTTATGTCTTAATAGATTTCTCTATCTATTTTATCTATCTTTGAATGAAGACACTATGATTCAGCTCTGAGCTGTAATAGAATATAATAATTAAATATATTTCTAATATATATATATATATATATAATATTTCTATTATATATATATATATATATTTTTTTTTTGGAATACTTGAAGGAAGGGAGTGAACCCCAGGAAACAAACAAAAAGGCAAAAACAAACACCTCAACACTACAAGGTGAAGGCAAGGAAACACCCCGGCCTATCCATATATATATATATATATTTTTTTTTTGGATACTGAAGGAAGGGATGAACCCCAGGAACAAACAAAAGGCAAAAACAAAACACCTCAACCAGCTACAAGGTGAGGCCAAGAAACACCCCGGCCTATCCCATTGCAGCAGCTCCAACACTTGAGCAGGAGGATCATGAAAAATTCTTTTAAGAGAATCAACGAGATTAGCTAAACGGTCAGCTACCTGGTTTGCCTCCCTATAACAGTGAAGAAGGCGGACATACCACTCCCTAGACAGCAGCAAACGAATGGCTTTAAGGAAACTCACAAACCGCCGAGAAGAAGAGGGAGCAAAATTAACAATCTGTAAAACAACTGCAGAATCTAATTCAACCTCAAGCTGTCGACAACCAAAGTCCCAAGCCATGCTTAACCCGTGCAGTAAACCAGAGGACTCAGCAGTCATAGAAGAGCAATGTCCAAGCCGGACAGCAAAACCAGACAACCAACCACCTTTGAAATCTCGTAGGACATCCCCACAACCACTAGGACCCAGATTACCTTTAGTCGCACCATCAACATTCAACTTGGCCCAGCCATAACAAGGAGGAGACCAAGAAACATGACATAACCTGAGTAGACCGGCGCCCCTAGCCATTGTGAGATTGCCATGCCTCCTTGTTGACCCTCAACTGAGAGAAGAGACTATGCCTACGAGAAACCACATCAAACCAAATATTTCTGAAAACAAAAGCATTCCGCCAACCCCAAATGTTCCACAACACGTAACACAACACTACTTGAGAGTCAAAAGCTTCCAGCCTACGAGTCTTAAGCACACTGCTACGAAGCAAACACTCAGAAATCAGCCAGGTGCAGAACTCCACCAGAGAAGAAGTCGTTAGGACCATCTCCCATATCTGTCTAGCATAAAAACAATCGGGAAACAAATGCTCTAACGACTCAAGAGGAGCATTACAAACCGGGCAAGAAAGAGAAATGGTAAAACCACGTATACCTCTCTCCTGATTGGTCATTAACTTCTGATGGTGAAGCAGCCATAAAAAGAGACGAATCTTTTGCAGAACCTGGATCCTATGAATCCAAAGCCAAGTTCGATCCGAGGAATTGCTCACTTTTAGGCAAATTATGAGCCGACGCAACAGAAAATAGGCCACTAGAGGTCTCCGACGAACAAAACTCATCCAAGTCCTGAGAACAAGAGCTCAGAAAGACAGACTCCAGCAGATGACATATAACCGGATGGAGATACAACTGAATCACCGCCCAATCCCAGCTGTCGTTGACCCAAAAAGAAGCAACACAGACATCCCGTAAAGAGGCCGACACAACTGTATGGCAGTAATCTAGCAGAGGCCTATCCGTTAACCAAACATCCTTCCAAAACAAAGTATAAAAACCAGTACATACCACCCGCCTGAGACCTTTAGACAGAAGAGGGAGACGATGCACGATACCACGCCACACAACAGAAGTTGAAGATCTCGACTGCAAAGCATCTAACCCATTTCTATTACGCATGTATTTCCCACGAAGAATAGAACACCAAAGCCCAATAGAACCATTGAGAATACGCCACCCCAGTTTGGCAAGAAAAACATCATTGATCTCACGGCAAGTATGCACACCCAAACCTCCAAGCTCCTTCCCGAGTCAAAGTGCCCCAGTTTACAAGGTGAATAATTGACCGACCATTGCGCTTCCCCCATATAAAATCACGAACCTTTCTATCAAAGGCATCACATACTGCCCGCGGAAACGTAAACAAATTGCATATAATATTATTTTAAAAATACATTTAATTGTATTACATTAGTTTCCATTGTACGGGCGTAATAGATGATAGTGACTACTTAGTGATTTTTATTTTAACCAGGGAAATATATTCCATTAACTGATTTTTCCAGCCATCCAAACTTCAGAAAATTCAAAAGATATTTTCCAGATAAACTATATCCCGCAAACAAATGGAGCCTAAATCCTTCAATTGCCAACTTAATACTTACTCTAAATACACTCCGATAGGATTGAACTAAAACTCTTTGTTGTTCATAAGAAGTACTAAAATAGCAAAACGAATTTATCATCTACATAGTCCAATATCATACAATAGAGACGTTTAATTGGAATCTATTTATTGAATTTCAGTCATGATTTGAAGGTGATGAAAAAATTGCATCATCAACTAAATAGAATGGCAACTAGCTCAAAAGGGTGGGTGTAGAAGATAGAAATCACAACAGGTGAAAAGGCTGATCCTGATTACAACCGTTACTTATTCGAGCGAATGGCAACTAGCTCAGAAGGGTGGAAGTAGAAGATAGAAATGACGACAGGTGAAAAGGCTGATCCTGATTACAACTGTTACTTATTCGAGCTCCGTAAATCAAGCCATGAAGTAATATCATCAAAGATAGCATAAATTCTGTCACCAGGTTCCCCTTCAAGAATGCAGTGATAACCTTCTTCATAAAGCTTCAAGGTTTTATCTTTACTAGAGGCCCTTTCGTAGAGAAATTGGCTCACCAAAGGATCAGTCACCTTATCAGCAGCACCATGAAGAACCAATAATGGAGACGAAACCTGCAACGTCTCTGGCATCAGCTAACTTGGTTGACATAGCATGAACCGTTCCTTGATTTAGGTAATGTAATAATGGTGGAATTTTAGCTTGTAAGGCGATATGATAGATAAAAAATGCATTATGAAATCTTACCTTTTCAAGTTGTGCCTCAATATCCTCTGTAGCCTTCAAGAGTTCCACAGCAGTTCTCAGTCTCGTTTTATCATTGTAAGAAATTACATTGTAGTCGGCCTAAACCAGAAAGAAGCAAAGTTGTTGTCTGTAAATATATAAAATGGAAAACTAAAATTTTCACATGTAGAAACATGTATCAGATCAACAAAAAATTTCCGTCATATATCTCTGTGTTCATTTTGTGTGCATGAGCGCACTTGTTAAATTTGATATATGGCTGCTCCAATTATAACCAAAGGTCTGTTCATGGGCTGTGCCTGGATTTGGACAATGTCAAATTTTTCAAAATTCCAGCCCAGCCAACATGTACTTTTCTTCATAAATTCCAGTCAGACAACAATTTTACATTGGTAGAAACAGAGACATACAAGTCTTTAAGCTATAATCACTGTAAAGCAAAAACATGCAACAATAGTTCAAGGAGAATCTTACTTATTACAGGGTTGAAGTTGTGCATAAATTAAAACGAATAATACTAAAAAAAGAAAAAAAGAAAAAAGAGCACAAAAGAACTAGCTGAAGAAAATTCCTTGACTGAACTCGGGTTTCTAATGGTTCTATCTATTTAAGACCAAACAGTACACACTGATGCATTAATATAGGACTATTTCTTCACATGCTATGATGCAAGGAATTGGTCTAAACTATAATATCACAAAAAGTATTTTCAGCAGAAATAAAATGGATAACAAACCATTTTTCTTGTCTTCAGGTCTCTGATGAACACCTCTGATAGATCTTTCTGCGGAACAAGTTTTGCTTTTGGCAAGACTCGGGCCAAAAGGGTTAACGCGTTCAAAACTAGTAGTGGTGGCTTCACATCGTCTGCAATCTGGGCAACAAATTAAGGTTAGCAAAAAATTTTAAGCATGTTAATGAGTATGCATTTCTGCAGATTAGAGAAAAAAACAAATGAAAACTTACAGCAAATAATGAAATTAGGTCAAGAATAAACAGGCAATACCAATCAATGTGTCAATTTAGTCTTGAAGCATAATAGACGTGAGGAGCTTTACATGAGCTCCATGCATAGCTAACAAATTCTATCGCAGCAAAACTGTTATACAGACTGATCTAAGCTGATAATTCACTGGAAGAACAAATCTCTGTTGATGTAATGTGTTTTTCAAAGTTGCTGAGGTAACAAAACACTACATCAGCTGGGTAATAGGTTTAGTAGATTGTGCATTTTGCACAGTAGAAGAAGTTGCAATTTTGTTCTTCAGTGGAATGCAGCTTTTAAAATAAAGCACATATTTGATCACATGTAGGAATGCAAATGAATGTGTCAACAAGCTCATTTAAAATAAAGGATTCCCATAAGTTAACATTTATAAATATAATAGAATTTGGTTTAGTTATATTAAATTCAATAAAATTAAATCATGGGAGAAAATTTTCATTCATATAAAATATGAAATTTCAAATGAATTCCACAAAATTTTGAGGAATTCATTAACACCAAATAAGGCCTTAAATAATTTCTGATAAAGGAGCAAGGATGTGCTTACTCTACACATAGGAGCTACAAGGATTATGCCATCCCATGCATTGGGTTCCTTTAGATGAACTTTGAGAGCAACAGCTCCACCCATAGACTGCCCAAACAAGAAGCAAGGCAATCCTCTCAATTCAGGACTACCTGGGAATAATAAGAGAAAGCAAACACAGAAATGGAATTCTACATGCTTTTCAAATTGCAATGAGAAAGAATAGCATCTACAGTAAGAATTGCCAAATCAAGACAAACCTTTAATTTTTGTATATTGTTCAATAACATTGTCAACTAAGTCATCAAAGCTTGGGATGTAACCATGCAAACCTTCAGACAGACCAAAACCAGGATGGTCCAAAGCATAAATAATATATCCACATACAGCAAGTCGCTTTGCTATACCTGAGATTGTTTAACTCTCATTATTTCAAGGACATTGTGTTGATTATAATTCTGTTTCCAAACAGAATTGGATCAGACAAAATGACATACCTTCAAAAAAGAAGGTGCAAGTATCTCCATATCCATGGCAGAAGAACACAGCACCTTTAATTTGAACATCTGGCGGTGGCATCCATTTTTTGAAAAATATTTCTAGTCCTTTGGAATTCCTTCCATACCACTACAGAATGCAATTACAGTTTTGGATATTAGCTTCATTAGCCTAAAAAACACATTTTTAAAAAGTACTTAAAAAGAAAAAGTCAACTGACTTGAATTGAGACAAAATGGAAGTTTCAGTAATTCTTTTAATTTCCTTTCCGTTCTCATTATACCAAGAAAATATAGAGAAATCAAAACTTACCTCCTGCGTACTAATCCCAGCAGGAGCCAACTACATAAAAATTTCAAAACCCAAAAAACAACACAAAATCAGTGACTAACACAAGAAACAAAGCACACAAATTCCATAATAATAATAATAATAATAATAAAGTCAATCATATCCAACAGATCATGACCATTACCTTAAAAAGGGGATGATCAAGCTGCTGTTGCACTTCAGCAAAAGCCGCTCGAACCCCACGGCGAGCAGGCGCGTGGTCCAAATCCTGGGAAGCAATCAAATTCAGTTCTTCACTGACACCATCAATGGGCTTCTTCTTTAACTTAGCCATAGCAGTTAGGTGGCGATTACTGGATACTGCTAAAATAGTTTTGGACTTTAGGTTTATATTAGATGAATCAATAATGGGTAGTTGCTGTTTTAGTGGATGGTTGATCGGAGAATGCAATTTCCGACTAGTTAGAGAAAAACTCGAGGAATGGAATCCAAGTTTGAGAGAAGAGTCCATGGGAAAGGGACTAAAAAGAAAACAAACAAAAAAGAGTCAGCACTTGGCAAGGTGAAGAAATTGGTAGCTGATGGATCGTTGTCCAATAACAAATTTAGTGGGTTCTGCAATTTGGGAATAAGTTGAATAATAAGAAATAAATTAAATTTAAATTTTTTTTGCCATTCGTTATTATATAGAATGAATCTGCATAGCAACAGTTACAATAATTCAAATCTATCAAAGACAACACAAATCATTATAAAGTCTGTTAGAGGCAATAAAACCCATTAAAAATAAGTAATATAAATTAAAATTAATTGTTACAACATCAAGAATTGAACCGTGGTGTTATCTATTAAAATAAGTAATAGATATTTACATAGCCCGTCAAAGCATTAATCTAATTCATTGTGGTATTACCTATTAAAGTGATGATGCATGTAACAATCAAATTGAATTACCAGTTCAATTGTGGGCGGTCACGTGTTAGGTAATGGAGTACGTTGTCAATGGTCCTATTGCAAATTTTGTTTTTTTTTTTTTTTTAATGTTTACGTTATAAAATACGTAGTTTCTTTGATTTTTCACGCATGGTTTTTTTTTGTAAGATTCTAGAGATTGGCATTTGAAGTGTGTTGTTGGATTCTAAATTTCCACTAACTTCTTCTAACATGAATCACCGACCTCTAGTCAACACCAAATCCTTTGAATTTGATAGATCTACATCCGGCGGCTTCTGTATTAGGTGGCAACGTGGGCCATGCCTCTCACGCCTCGCGTGCTACAGTACTTGGCCGGTGTCGAGCCTGGATACTAAGCACGGTAGCCCATCCCAACATAACACGTTCAATTTTTTTTCCCTTTTTTCATCTTTTTTTAAGAAAGTAAAAGATGAAGAATAGTCAAATCCAGCAACAACATTTAATCAATTTTTAGCATTTTGATAGAGTAAAAATTCTATCTTTTTGTAATTGTATTGTTTCTTAATATAACTTTGATAATAAATTTTAAAGGTTGAAGAAACTTTTTATTCAATGTCAAACACTCTAATATTTGTAGAAATTAATTAAATTTTTTGAACAATTATATTTTTATTATGTTTTTCATGAATTCTATTAATTCAGTTAATTAAACAGTTTATGTCCAATTAATTGAATAGCTAATTACTGAATATTCAGTTAATTAAAAAAAAAAAAACTTAGAATTGAAACAATTTTGTTTATAAGTTATTTAAAGAACTAAATCAAAACGAATCGATGGATGCGAATTTGAATCAAATCATTGGTATTTATAATTATTTAATAAAATTATTATTATTATTATTTTAAATTATCTAATCAAAATTAATAATTAATATTTTTATAATTCAGTACAAATTAAACTAATTAAGTTTAGCCGAATAAGTTTCCAGGCTGGCTTTAATAACTATTCATTCACGGTGCAACTTCAATTTCTAAATTACGCAAGGAATTAAGGGCTTACTAAAACAAATCAGTTGTCAGAACGTTAATTGCTCGTTATTAACATTCCGGATTGGACTGTATGCTCCGGCGCTCGGCGGATTAATTTTGTTTTCTAGTTTTTTTGGTTACACTGATTCCTATTTTTATTTTACACTGAATCATCAGATCCTTTTTCTTTACAAGGCCACCCATTTTTCTGTTTCGGACATTTTGAACCACGTCTTACATTTTCAAATTTTCATTTGTAAAACAACTTCTATTTCAAAATATCCCAATTTCCATTGCCTCTTTTTTTCATCAAGTCTACCGACTACATGCGCCAGCAGTAAATTTAGCTACCTTTGCAATTTGGATTTTCACCTAGACATGTGAAACGCTGCACGCTCATCTTTCCTAAACAACATTTTGTGCTAAAAGGTGGCGAAATTTGCTCCTAGTTTTGCTACAAAGCTCCCTCATAGAATTCTTGAAGATAAGTTTATCTCACTCTTACAGTCATGTAAGACCACCAATCATCTTCAGCAAATCCATTACCAGATCATTACTCAAGGTTTTGAATACAATGACTACATCATGCCAAAGTTTATCACTGCATGCGCATTGCTCAAGGAAATGCAATATGCCCAAAAAGTGTTCGATCAAATTCCTCACCCAAATGTCTCCAACTGGAATGCAATGTTTAAAGGCTATGCCCAAAACGAATTTCACAGGAAAGTTATTGTCTTGTTTAGTCAAATGAAGAGTATGGATATAATGCCTAACTGCTTCACATTTCCAATGGTTCTTAAATCTTGTGTAAAGATTAATGCATTGATAGAAGGTGAAGAATTGCATTGTTTTGTGACAAAGAGTGGATTTAGAGCCAACTCATTTGTGGGTACTACATTGATTGATTTGTATTCTGGAGGAGGAGCGATAGGAGCGGCTTATAGAGTGTTTGGTGAGATGCTGGAGAGAAATGTGGTTGCTTGGACTTCAATGGTTCGTGGTTTTATATTCTGCAATGATATAGAAACTGCACGTCGCCTTTTTGATTTGGCCCCTGAACGTGATATTGTGCTATGGAATACTGTGGTTTCAGGTTACATTGAGATAGGGGATATGGAAAAAGCACATGAGCTTTTCAATAAGATGCCAAATAAAGATATTATGTCTTGGAACACAATTTTGAATGGTTACGCCAACAAGGGTGATGTGGACGCTTGTCAGAGACTGTTTGAGGAGATGCCTGAAAGGAATATCTTTTCATGGAACGGATTGATTGGAGGTTATGCACGTAATGGGCATTTTTTTGAAGTATTAATTTCTTTTAAGAGGATGTTAATTGATGGTAATGTGATTCCTAATGATGCAACGTTTGTGACTGTGTTATCGGCCTGTTCAAGATTGGGTGCTCTTGATTTGGGCAATTGGGTGCATGTGTATGCTTGGGGTCATGGATATAAGGGAAATGTATATGTCGGGAATGCTTTGATGGACATGTATGCAAAATGTGGTGTTGTAGAAAATGCAATCGATGTTTTTAAAAGCATGGTTAAGAAAGATTTGATTAGCTGGAACACCATGGTTGGTGGGTTAGCAGTGCATGGGCGTGGAGCTGATGCTTTAAGTTTGTTTTCTCAAATGAAAAATTCTGGACAAAAGCCAGACGGAATCACCTTCTTAGGTGTTCTGTGTGCTTGCACACACATGGGTTTGATTGAGGATGGCTTTTCATATTTCCAATCAATGGTTGATGACTATTCAATTCCACCTCAAATAGAGCATTATGGTTGTATGGTTGATCTGCTTGCAAGAGCTGGCCTTTTACCTCAGGCTATGGATTTTGTCAAAAAGATGCCCATGGAACCAGATGCTGTTATTTGGGCTTCTTTGCTCGGGGCATGTAGGGTTTATAAAAATGTTGAATTGGCTGAATTGGCACTTGAAAAACTCGTTAAATTTGAGCCAAAGAACCCTGCAAACTATGTGATGCTTTCAAACATATATGGCGATCTTGGAAGATGGAAAGATGTTGCACGATTAAAAGTTGCAATGAGGGATACTGGGTTCAAAAAATTACCAGGTTGTAGCTTAATTGAGATCAATGACGGTGTTTTTGAGTTTTATTCTCTAGATGAGAGGTTGCCTGAGAGTGAGTTAATATATGAAACCTTAAAGGGCTTGACAAAATTGTTAAGATCATCCGGATATGTACCAGATCTTATGGAGCTTGGGAATAAAAGATGAAGATAGAAGGTATATACTGTCAAAGGTGTTGGAAACGTGATGAAGCTGCTACCTATGAGACACCTTCATCAAACCTGACTGTAAGTTGTCTTTTCTTTTTTTCTTGTTGAAAATTCATGAAAGAAAAGGGTCAAGAATGGAATGGACTGTTTGGGATTTGAGATTTCAAATCTAGAACCAAATGCATGGGGATACTGTGTATCTAGTTACTAGAAATGTTCAGAATTCATCTATGATGTTTTCAAATGACATTTTATGCACTATCGTTTTCCTCCTAATCTTTGGTTGAAAAATTGATTATTCTACAAATATTTAATTGTCTGTTTTTGTTCTTTTCAAACGTTTCCTCTTCCATATGTTTTTTTGAAGGATGATTTTATTAATAAAAAAGAAGAGTTAAAGATGGGTGCAAACTGCAGAAAGGGAGTAGCAGTGAGCATAAAGTACATCCACTCAATTCTGGCAGCAACTTAAAAGGCTTTAGATAACAACCCATGCATGAGAAATAACCTCTGCAGATTTTATACATCAAAATAACCTCTAATACCTTACAGAGCATTATGCATACAGCAGCAACTAATGTAATAAACCAGAACTGCAAAATGACCTTCAGAGATATGTAAAAAACCAATTCTGCAAAAAACTCTTCAATCTGTACTTTTATGTCTGTATTGTGTGGATGGCGCACTAGCCTACGCATGCATGTGCATGTGAACCTCGGTGGTATTTAAAATGCGAATATGCATGTTATAAAAAATTAATTAAAAACTTATTTAGAAATGCTTGGAAGATTTATTATAAATAGTTATTTTTATCTTGTATAAAATACTAGTAATTTTTTAGAATTCTAAATCTTCTATAGCTCATTTCATTTCTTTGATATTCTGTTTTCCTTAATTTTTTTTTTGAATTATTGTTGTTGTTGTCAGGTAGTGAGCTTTTGTGAACCACGGTGAATGCACCTCCCTTTTCAAGTCAAGGTCAAACCATTCACATCCATGCATCTAAAATGGTATTCCTTACTCTATTTGGCTTAGCAAGTTACGAACAGCACCTTGCATCACTGTGAACAGAAGTGTCATCGCTAGGTACTGTACGTACTGTCAAGTTTTCATTTCACCCCTGTAACTTGATTGATAGTTTATCAAATAACAAAAAAAACAAGATGTGAAATGGAGGTAAAAAATGAATGGGACAGCTTATAGCTTATTTAAGATCTGTATTGGTAATCTTCCTTGCTGATTTCTACTGACCATGCAACTTCCATGCATTTCCTGGAATATGCTTAGGGCATTAAATAAATTATTTTAATCATATTAAGATAGCACATTAAATTAAACATATCTATTATCTTAAACTTATTGCAGGATAATATATTGATGGAGTGTTCTTACTTTGCAGCATAATCATTCTCTTTTTTACTGAAGACACATAAAACATGTTCAATATGAGAAAATTTCAAAGGAGGTACCGCGTTCGGAACATGTTAAATTTTCCAATTAAATTTGTCTATGAGGATGCAACAACTAAAATTACTACCCTTAATTCCAAACTAGTTGGAGTCGGCTATATGAATCATTTGTCATTTTATCTGCTTGAGTCCATAATATAATGAAATAAGCAAAGGATCAAAAATATATATAAGTAAAATTGAATAGATAAATAGCTAGGAATAAATAAACAAGCATAGGCAAACAAAAGCAAAGGAGCCTTAATCTGAGATTAATTGGGATCTAAGGATATGCTTAAAAAAATGTCTTCATATGCTTCAAGTCCTTAGAATTTTATAAACTTTGCCTTTAGACTTTTAGATAATTTTTTTATGTAATATTGTTTCTGAACTAACAAAAACAAAATTCTTTATATGCTCCATGCTTGGGCTGCCAACTAAGAACCTAGAATCAAGGCTCTTGACATGTTTTGATGATGTAAATTACTTTGATTTAAATATTTCTATATTATTCTCATTGAAATGCCATTGGAGACCAGAGAGATGGTTGTATTAGAATCTTTACCTGGACGCTTGCAATTTCTCTCCATCTAACATAGTTAGCAAAACTGCTTTAACTGTTTTCTTGCTGATAAAGTTTAACTGAGATGATATGAATATAAAATAATATTGGGAAGTAGACCAGTTCATGTTCAGACTTGAGTTTGGAAAATGTCAAATTTTTCATTGGAATATGTTTATATTGTGATAGTTACTCTCATTGGAACGAAATCAGAGACCATAAAAATGGTCTTATTAGAATCTTCACCTGGATGCTTGCATTTTGCTGTCCCTCCAATGTAGTTATTAGAGATGCTTGACTAGTTTTCTTGCTAATAAAAGTTTAACTGAGATGATATGAAGTATGAAATATGAAATAATGACCTGTAAACTGTTCATTCGTCAGATTTGAATCCAGAAAATGTCAAATTTTTCGAAGGCTTAGCTCTCCTGACTTGTAATTTTCTTCACAAATTGAGGTCGACAGCCTGGCTAGGAACATATTTAATTAGAAGAAAACTCATGTTTCTTTTCAACAAGCGAAAGCTCTTTTGCATTTGAGAGATTTGTACCTTAACTTGTATTTATATGGAATTCATCCCTCCACATTTTAGCTGGATGTTATGCATTTGTGAGTTATTTTCACCTAATGTATTACACTACTAGCTTTTTATGTTTGTGGACTTAAACGATTTCTTTATATTTTATGTAAATATAAAATATATCATGCATTTTATACTTTATTTATATTTTATGAAAATACATCCTGCATTAAATTAATAAGCCAATTGTCTGATGTTTATCTTATAGTTCAAAAAAAGTCAAATTTAAAATCATTATCCTTTGAATAAAAGGGAAAATACTTTTAAATAAAATGATATTAGTATGACAGGTCTTTTGGTTTGAAAGATACATGGATTATATTCAAATTGTCAAACTCTGCCATTTGTATAAATGTATGTGTAAGTTAATTTTGATACGGTTGTTAAAAAAGAGAGAGCATAGGGGCTGAATAGCAGCTGTAGATCGTGACTTTTGTGGGAAAGTTGTGGCTTTGCTGGTTCACCCAATTTCTCATGTCACTGATCCTTTGTCTTGAAGCAATTAGTCCAAGAGAGGCATTGTCTTTGCATATAAATGGGGCTGTTAGCAGATATTTTTTTGGAAAGCGATTCTCATCTTGTTATTCAAGCAGCAAGGGATGAGACTCAACCTGCATCAAGAGTTTTCTTCATTGTTAGTTCAATTTGTATTTGCTAAATGGGAATGTAATTATGTTGCCCATAGTTGGCAAGAAAAGCCCTTGATGTTTCTCTCTGTTTGAATCTCTATGCTCAGAGTTGTTGGATTAAAGATTCTCTTCACCTCTCTTTGTTTCTCTCTGTTTGTTAATGCTTTTGTTTTTTTTCCCCCAAAGAAAGAGAAATAAACAACTGCTTCCCTTTGCATAATTGATGGTGTTTTACTTCCTTCGCGTTGTGACCTTCAAGCAAATTGATGATGTTGATAAGGAAAAGTACTAGTCTCAGTGACACTTGCTTGGTTCATAAACTAAGAGAACTGAATTTGTGGCTTTTGTTGCTATATTTTGATTATTTGAGACAGTTAATATGCTTGCTGTTAATGTAATGAGGCTTTTTTGTTTTCAAGAACTCTTTTTGGATTTTCTGTTGAGCTTAGAGTATATAATAATTTCTTGGTTCTGGGTGGCTCGAATTTCTTTCTTGGTTTTTCATAATTTGCTTACTGTTTTTCTATTTTCTGGTTGGACACTTTATTGAGACTTCTGTGTCTTTGTCTTCCTTTCTTTAAGCAAAAATTTCAGGTGACCATAAACTTCTACTTTTCCTTCACTTTAATGTGTTTCTAATATTGAATTTTATTGGGTTTAAGCCAATATTGTCATTTGCCTCTAAAAAGATTGTTGGCTATCAATTAGTTATTAATTTTGATCAGCAAATGTCTGTGTTTTTGCGTAGCAGAACGGAAGCTTAAGGCTTCAAGTTTGCACCTTTATTTCTGAGGGTTAATTTCAATTCCTTACAATGCTATCTACAAATCTGAATCTGAAGCAGAATGGAAGCTTAAGGCTTCAAATTTGCACCTTTATTTTTGGGGGATTAATAGCTATTCTTTACAATGCCCACAAAATCTGAATCTGATTTTACAAGCTTAGCCCCATCATCAACTTCAAGATCTCCAAAGCACCCTGTGTATTATATGCAAAGCCCTTCGAAGGATTCACATGATCGGGACAAGTCCTCTTCAATTCAACCAAGTCCAATGGAGTCACCTTTACAACCCATTTCCGACACCATTGAGGAAACTCATCTGCTAGTAGGTTTTCAAGTGCATTTGGGTCCTCTTCGGTGAGGACAAAAGAAATGTTGAAAGGGTGGAATGAGAAAGGGTAGTCTGAATGTAACATAATCATGGAAGATAAAGCATTTACTAAGCGGTTTCAGGCCTTGATTGCTTTGAATAGTTTTTATAATCTTATTTACTGTGTTTTACTTGATTATATGGGGGACTAACAGGCCTTATTAGGCAGAGATTACTGTCTAGGTATGCCAATCTTTTCTTTCATTTTATTTTTGTGCAACATTTATTTAATATGCTCATTAGATTATATATTCTGTTGAAGATAATTGAATAGTGAATTATGGCTAAGAGGCTGAATGTTTGCTCATTAAATCATTTAGCCATTTTATATGTTCAATGTCTCTGTATTTTGAGAATATTCTGAGGCAGTTTTTGTTTATGCAATCTGAAATCTGTATGGTTAACATTTATCACAATAAAAGGGAGTCAATTGCACATTAACCCCCTAATGCTGCTGTTATGAACCTCGAGTTCGCTCAAACTTAGTGATTAATATGAGTTTGATGCAGGTCCATTGCAAACAAGTCATCCCTAGATGGCTAATTATATTCTTTACTTAATTTCAATTCTAATGGGAAATGTGAATCTTTCAGAACTTGCAAGTAATTTTTTTTGTTGGAGAAGGTTCAGACTTTGGTGTTCCTACAAACTACAAAGATGCTAGCAATGAATGGCTGGTTCAGAATGTGTGATCGACCACATTCTGGACCTCAGTCTAAGCCGTTAAGGGTATATTCCAGAAGGTCCAAAGAAGGGCCTGGACATGGGGATTGCTGCCTTGGGAATTAAGGAAGACACATCAGCCACACCAATGATTGGGACACCTGTCCAAATTCAGTTACAACCAAGGGGGTGATCGTGAATATAATACAGCAGAGGGCAAGGAGAAGGACATCTGAAAAAAATATTCCTTTTCATTTGTATTGATGGAGAGCTACTGAAGGCTCTTGGCTTGATTCTTAGAATTCAAGAATTCCCTTTTGTTCTAGTTTCTGAGAAGGACATCTGAAAAAAAAATATTCCTTTCATTTGTATTGATTGCGAGGAGCTACTGAAGGGCTCTTTGGCGCTTGATTCTTAGGAATTCAAGAATTCCCTTTTTTCTAGTTTCTATTTCTCTTCTTTTCATTTTCAATATCTGAAGATTGTTAATCTGTAAAAAACACTTCGTTCTTGATTGAATACAGATTGCTACTGAAGGCTCTTGGCTTGATTCTTAGAATTCAAGAATTCCCTTTTGTTCTAGTTTCTATTTCTCTTCTTCTTCATTTTCAATATCTGAAGATTGTAATCTGTAACACTTCGTTCTGAATTGAAATACAGATTTCTTCTTCTCATATCCATTCTAGAATTCTTTGATCTTCTGTTTGGTTGTTTCCTCACTCTATCAATTTGGTCCGACCTGCCGCTGGATTCCAATAACTACCACACGATCTAATAGCCGTTTAGAACAGATAGAGATGAATGTTTCAACCTTAGAAAACCGTATTAACTCCATCGACAAATCCCTCCAAACCTTACAAACAGCGCAATCCCAAACCTTCAACACATTAGAACAACATCTCTCCTCATTTGACCAGAAATTTACCACCATTGAAACCCTACTCCATAACCTATCTTCACGAAATATCACTCCTCAATATGGTGACTCCACAAACCCAAAACTGTGCACACCTTCTTCATCCTCTACACCCAACCCACTATACTCTCAACACCTCACTATCACTACCCCACCCATAACCATCAATAACCCACAAACCATTAACCTAGCTACTCATTCACAACCTTACCACCAGATTTTCACCCAGTAAAACTCAGACATTCCCCAGTTCAGTGGAACAGACCTCGTAGCATGGTTTGCACGAGTGGAACAATTTTTTGAGATTCGCCATATCCAACCGGACCAACGTGTCTTCGAAGCCCTAGTCGCCATGGTCGACGCACCCCTTCATTGGTTTCTCTGGATTCGCCAATGCAACCCTCAACTCACTTGGGAGATGTTGAAATCGGAGTTAACCCATTAATATGGTGGCGACATCGCAAACAATCTTTATGAACATTTGGCAGCAGTAAACAAAATGGGTCTGTTGCTGATTTCCTTGATGAATTTATAGCTCGAGCCATACAAGTCCCAGCCCTCTCCGATTGCCTGTATTTGGGCTATTTTCTGAACGGGTTACGTAACGACATCCGACTCCGCCTCCGCTTCAATGATACCGTCGATCTATACAATGCAACGAAGGTCTCGCGAGAAATTGAAAGAGAAATACAATCATCTCCACTGCCTAAGACTTCTACAAGCTTCAACACCCAACCCCATCCACTTACCCAATTTGGCATTGGCCCAAAGATTACAAGTCCATCCTCTTACAAACCCACAACCCATATCACCAGCCCCCAGCCCAAAAATACCTCCACCAGCTCCATATCACAAACCCGTTCTCCTCATTCCATCAACGTTCCACTCCCCCTTCCAACACCACCCTACAAACCAGCCACAACCACCCAAAACCACCGTAGCCGTGGCACAAGACAGACTCCCATCAAGAGTACCAGGAGCTATGAGCTAAAGGCTTTTGTTTCAAATGTAAAAACCCTTACAACCCCCCCGCCTTCATGAATGCCCAAATAAATCCCTAAGAGCCCTAATTGTGGGAGATGACGATACTCTTCCTATCAATGACGAGAACATTGAATCATCAGAAAATTTAGCATTGTTAAGCCCTGTGGAGTGGGACAAGATTCACTTCTCCAATATCGAACTTCCTATGTGTTCAATTGGAGGTATCACAAGACTCGAGACAATGAAGTTACAAGGAGAAATTACGAGACATTCAGTAATACTAATGATTGATAGCAGAGCTAGCCATAATTTTGTCTCAGCAGAGCTCGCCCAACAATTGAACTTGAAGGTATCTCCAACTTGAGTTTACTATGTCAAGTTAGGCGATGGGTACCGAATTGCTGCTACTGGGGTCTATATAGGTCTTGAGCTTCAAGTGAGTACCATAACCCTCAAAGATGATTTCTATGTCTTTCCCCTTAATGGTGTGGATTTTATTCTTGGTATTGCTTAGCTTGAAACACTTGGGGATATTCGGCACAATTGGGCAACCATGACCATGACATTCCACCACCAAAATCAATCCATCACCCTCTCCAGTAACCCTTCCTTGTGCCAAACGCTTGCTTCTCCATACTCCCTCCACAAAACCACAGAAATCCTTTATTCTGTCCTGCTATGGCAATTGGAACCAACACGACCACAATTACAAGCCACTGCAAATCCCATACCTACAACACTGCAAGAACTTTTGCAACAATACTCCAAAGCTATCCAGAACCTTCCCTAGAGCGCACCTTAGACCACCAAATTCCTCTTAAACCAGGTCAAGGCCCTATATGTGTCAAACCCTACCGTTACGGTCATGTACAGAAGGATGAAATTGAGAGGTTAGTGGCTGAGATGGTAGTGGCAAGTATTATTAGGCACAGTAGCAGCCCCTTTTCTAGCCCAGTATTATTGGTTCGCAAAAAGGATGGGAGTTGGCATTTTTGCGTGGACTATCGTGAGCTCAACAGGGTAAAATACCCAACAAATATCCAATTCCAATGATTCAGGAACTCTTGGATGAAATTCATGGGGCTTATATCTTCACCAAATTGGATTTAAAACTAGGTTTCATCATATTCGGGTTGCGGTTCCTGATATCCACAAAACAGCCTTTCGGACGTATTTAGGACATTACGAGTTCATGGTCATGCCTTTTGGTCTTACAAATGCACCAGTGACCTTTCAGGCGATTGTGAATGACATTTTTCATCCATACTTGCAGTGGTTTGTGCTAGGTTTTTTTTTTACGACATTCTGATCTACAGCAATGACTGGGACTCTCATTTATAGCACTCTCAACTGTTTTGCAAGCACTGAAACCAACTCCATCTCAACCAGAAGAAATGTTCATTTGGGCAAACTTCAATAGAATACCTTGGGCATATCATCTCAAGTACTATTGTCGCTATGGACCCTGCAAAGATATCCAGTATTCTTCGTTGGCCCATCCCAAAGTCAGTGAAAGCAGTCTGGGGGTTTCTTGGTTTAACAGGGTACTATTGAAAATTCATCCGACATTACAGTCAAATCGCCCAACCATTAATAGCTTTGCTCAAGAAGGAGGTCTTAGATAAATTCTTATGGACAGAGGCAGCCCAACAATCTTTTGATTTCCTCAAGCTAGCTGTCACATCTTCCCTAATTTTGGCAATGCCCGATTTTTCCCAACAATTTGTTGTAGAGTTAGATGCTTCGGGAAGCGGCGTAGGGGCTGTGTTAATGCAAAACTCAAGGCCAATCGCCCACTTCAGTAAAGTTACCTCAGATTGTTCCTCTAAATGATCAGCCTATGACAGTGAACTAATGGCTCTGGTACTTGCCATCTGGCATTGGAGGCCCTACCTCATAGGGAGGCATTTCTTGGTTCGAACAGATCACCAAAGCCTTCGCCACCTCCTCAATCAGTCCATTACTACACCAGCCCAACAATATTGGATTTCCAAGCTTACTGGTAATGATTTCTCGATTGAATATAAACCAAGCAAACAGAATGGAGCAGTTGATGCCTTATCTCATAGTCAAGAGGAGGTCTAACTCCATTCACTTTCCATTCCATAATGGGTTGATTGGGAGGAAATCCACAAGGAAATTGTGGCTGACCCGTACATCACAGAGATCCTTACAACCATGCAAGGGACAAATCCTCCAAGGCAATACAGTTTGGTTCATGATCGGTTGTTCTTCAAAGGCCGTCTGGTTCTACCAACCACTTCACGGTGAGTTCTTAAGCCGATCTCTGAGTTTCATTCTACTCTAATCGATGGTCATTCTGGAGCATATAGAACATACAGGCGCATTGCATCCAATTTCTATTGGAGGGGGTTGATGCGTACCGTTCAAAAACAAGTGGCTGAATGTCTCACTTGCCAATAGCAAAAGCATGAAGCTCAAAGTTCAGCCAGTCTCCTCCAACCCCTTCCAATTCCAAATCTTATATGGGAAGACATCTCCTTGGATTTCATAACTGGATTGCCTAAGTCCAATGGGTTTGATTGTCTCATGGTGGTAGTGGACCAACTATCCAAGTATGCAGACTTCATTCACTCCGGCATCCTTTCACGGCCAAGAAGGTGGCTACCATCTTCACCAATGAAATCATCATACTGCATGGCCTGCCACATTCCATAGTTAGTGATCGAGATCCCTTGTTTCTTAGCAACTTTTGGGGTGAACT